CAAACCCCAAACCCTAAACCCCAAACCCTGCAGGCCTTTGCGATCCATTCCGCAATGTTTCCCTCGGTGATGCTCTCCCCGCCCAGCTCGGGGGTCGGGACATCCACCTCTGAGAGAGGGGGACTTAAGCAGTTTAGGGAGTTTCGGGCTTCGGGGAGGGTTTCGGGTTTAGGGTTTAGGGTTTAGGGTTTAGGGTTCAGGGCACAGGGTATAGGGTCAAGTCGGGTTTTTTGAGCTCTTTCGCGCGCGCGCGCGCGCGCGCGGGCTTTGGGGGGGATCGGTTTAGGAACTCACTTCCCATTTCAACTGCACAACCGTTCTGTGTTTGTGTACCCCTTTATGCAGACAAAATACAAAAATATGGACACTATACCTCCAACCCCTTCCAAAAGTACTGGGTCGAGGGTCTAGGGTGGGTCCCGAAACCCTATAAATCCTAAGCCCTTTCAGTTGCCCCGAACCTTCTTAATCCTAAACCCTAAACCCTACATCCGAAACCCTAAACCCTAAACCCTAAAAGTATTCGCAGGGCGGAAAAGGCCTTGCTGAAGAAGCGGACCTGACCAAACCGTGGTCGGAACTCCTGACCTGTCGAGGTTTTTTTTTTGGAGGGCGTTGGGGGGGGGTTTTGGGGTCTTAGGAGCCGTTTAGGGTTTAGGGTTTAGGGTTTAGGGTTTAGGGTTTAGGGTTTAGGGTTTAGGGTTTAGGGTTTAGGGTTTAGGGTCCAGGGTTTAGGGTTTAGGTTTTTAGTTTTTTGTTGGGGGGGGGGGGGGGGCGTTTTTGGTTTGAGGTTTTGGGGTCTTAGGGGCCTTGGCTGAAGATTCCGAGGGTCAGCGTGTTCTCGTTCATTTTTCTTTTGCAGTTTTCATTAATGTGTTATATTTTTCTTTGTTTGTACAATTATTGTTACTATTCTTGTTGCTTTCTTTGGGGGGGGGGGGGGGGGGTGGCAGCGGCTTCAAAATTGGGACTTCCACTGAGAGATACGCCGTTTCTACGCGAGAATCCATGCTCATTAAAAGAAAGGAGTCAAGCCTCAACCCAAGACCGCCCCTGATGTCATGTGGGATCTACGTGTTTTGAGCCTGAGCGCCATGGCTCCGAGGCAGGGGTCTGGTGGTTGAGTTAAGGCTTCTTTGGGGTGTAGGGTTTGGGGTCTAGGGTTTAGGGTTTAGGGTTTAAAGCTTAGGGCTTAGGGTTTAAGCTGAGAGTTTGGAGGCTACCTTGTGAGCCCTTCCTGGGCCCCCCGACCAGAACGAAGCCTCGCCTGGCAGTCGGATGCTCAACCAAGGGTTTGGGTTCAGGGTTCAGGGTTCAGGGTCCAGGGTCCAGGGTCCAGGGTTTAGGGTTTAGGGTTTAGGGTTTAGGGTTGAGGGTTTAGGGTTTTGGGATTTAAGGTTTAGGGTTTATGGTTTAGGGTTTCGGGTTTAGGGTTTCAGATTAAGGGTTTAGGGTTCAGGGTTGACCCCTGTGCCAGCGCCTTCGAGAGGGAGCTAGCAGCGCTCGGGGCTCCCAGCGCAAGCCCTGACGCAGGAGGTGCTGAGGGCGACGGAATCCCTACCTACGCCAAATCCCAAACCCTGAACCCTAAACCCTAAACCCTCTGAACAGTGCATCATCTGACCATTGCGGGCGCACTGTGATATACTTAAAGCCCTAGTATAGCAGAGTAGAGAGCCTGGAGAGTTTGCAGTGTAGAGTATACAGTATCGAGTATGGAGTATCCATTTAGTATAGAGTATAAAGTGTAGAGTGTAGAGTACACAGTATGGAGTTTGGAGTATAGAGTGTCGGGTGTAGAATACAGAGTCTAGAAGAGAATGCACTTTATAGTGCTGTATAGCCCATTACGGGGCATCGAGGTTCTGGTTCAGCGAGCTGCCAGGACTCGACTGCGAGAAGGTGTGACAATCGGTCCGCTACAGGGTTTGAGATTGAGATTGAGATTGAGATTGAGATTGAGACTGAGATTGAGATTGAGATTGAAGAAGGGTTTATAGGTTTTTAGGGTTGGGGTTTAGTTTTTAGAGTAGGTTTAGGGTTTTGGGTGAAACCTGAACTTGAAAGCCACAGCGTGCACATGGCCAGCCTCTGCGTGCGACGGTGTGTGCGAGCGCGTTGCCGGAAACCGCACATGGCAAGCCTCGGAAGTACTTGGGGTTTCGGGCACAGGGTTCCCCTGCTAGGCTTTAGCCGCCTAGTTTGGGATGTTCTTCCTTATGCTAACAGTCCTTAATAGGGACTCTAGTATTCGAATCCTTCTTAGGGATTGTTAGGAAAAGGGGGGAACATCCCAACGCCTAGCCCTTTAAAATGCAACTCCCAGGTGCCTACTTAGCCCAAACCCCTCAAACTTGTCAACACGCGGGGGGGCTTGGTGTTCTGACACAAGACCACCCCTACTGGTGCACAACGAAAAAACCACTTCTTCTAGAACGATAAGATCGCAACATTGCTTCGACGATTCGATAGCAGATGAGGCGCAGCTTCAACTAATTACTGGCTCTTTTTTGGCAGCCTAATCTGTTTAGCAGTGCACCAGAGACTCTAGACGATAGCCGAGCCCAACAAAAAGCCCACAGCCTAGATCAACCTGCACGGCTACCTAAACGGCCCGACTGAGGGAGCGTACACTGTACATACACTCCCAGGCAGCGGTAGTGCCAGTGAAACTTCAACCACAGTGCTCAGTTCTTCTGGCCTCGTGCTAGGCTTTCTGGTGCAAAACGAACACGTCCAAGCACAAAGCTCCATCAAGAGGGTTCTCTTTTCCGGCTCGCCAGTAAGCACCCTTGCCACCAGGAACTGCGAGTTGGGTGGGAAGAGTACCTCCTCCTCGCTTGGGATCGCCGAGAAGTGGCGGATGTCCTTTGCCGTGATCGAGTCGATCACAAAGAGTGACCCGTGAAGCCTGCGGCCAGGCAGCACTGACACAAAGTCGAGGGTGGCCAGCTGCCTCTTCGTTGCGCTGGAAAACGATTGCCATGTGATCCTCCGTCCAGCCGCATAGGTCTCAGGATTGAGAAGGGCACTCACGCCACGATAGACATAGCCCTGTAGCTCACTCACATGCGCCGGCAGGATGCTCAACGCCCGCTCCATGTGCACAATGTAGTCAGCATATTGCCTGAGCTCTGTGTCAGTGTGTGGCGTACGCATGGCATAGTTGAGGATGGGCGACTCCTCAGTGTACGCGTAGAGAGCAGCACCATGTGCCGCCGTGATGGGAATTGGTGACGTTGATGCTTTCGCCCGGTCTCCATGATGTCCGAGACACGAGCGACACTGTGCCCAAATCGTTGAATCGCCTCTGGCACCTCCAGAGTTACCTGGAAGCCCTGCGGGAAGAAGTTGCGGGACCCCGCCGCAGGTGCATCAAGACCATCCCCCCACCGCTTCACACGCCTGCTCTCCGTGTTCGGTCCGGGTCCTCCAGGTGGTGTGGCGTTGTGCTGGTGGCTGTGGTAGCCTCCTTGGCCTGAAGCAGGGCGCGAAGCACGTGGCGGCGGGTCATGAGGAGCCGTGACGCCAGCGGCGCCCCTTCGCGCCAGCAGCTCCGAGAAGTGGAAATTGCCTTCACCGGGTTGGCACGCGACGTCCGCAAAATTCCCGCGCACTCGGACGATCTCGCCTTCCCGGCCTGCGAGGTCTCGATACCCGTATGCGGTCGACTTCACCCACACGCGAAGGCCCAGTTGGAGATCTGCCTGGGAGTCCAGCGGCCTCAACTCCAGGGATGGTAGCGTCGTGCTCACCAGCAAGTAGGGCCAAATGGCCTGCCTTGGGCACCACGTGAACCCCAAGTTAGGGTTTATGGCTCGTAGAGCTTCATAGGGATTAGAGCATGACGCAAATGGGGGTTTCCGAAAATAAAGGGTACCTTCTTGGCGGTCCTTCTTCTAAGGGAATCCTAATCTTGTTTTCTTGGGGGGGGGGGGGGTCCAAATAGGGTTCCTATGTCATTATGTTTGCGCAAACCCCCAAAATACCCTAAACCCTAAACCCTAAACCCTAAATCCTGAACCCTCATCATTCTCCATTTGATCCCCAAGGTGCTCCGTGCGACCATCCCGCGTCCTGATGTGGGACCAGCGGCCGTAGAGCTTGATGATCTCGGCTTCCTGGCCTCGAAAGCCTTGGGGACCAAATGAAGCCTAAAGAGGGTGTAGGGTTTAGGGTTTAGGGTTTAGGGGTTTATGGTTCTTATACCTTCATAGGCTTATAGGTAGTCTAGGGCCTCTGCCCCCCAATATTTTTGGGGGTTCCATGTGGCCCCCCAAGGAACTTTCGAGGTGATCGGGCGCCGTCTCGGAGACGCGCACAGCTAGGCCCACCTTCGGCTCGTACTCCGACATCTCCCGCCAGCCCGCCATCTTTCTCACCACAAGGGAGCTGTCTCACTCTAGACTTCCCGCTGTCTTAGAAGTCATTTGGGTGGTTGTCAGAATTCTTGGATCCCTGTTATAATACGGCACCTAATACTAATATTTAGGGTACCCCAAAAGGGATCATAATTTTTACAGCCACCCATTTAATTTGTGTTTACGTCATTTGTGGGGAGTTTGGTAGGGGTATGTGCTGGCTGTGGGGACTGGTAGAAGTCCTCCTGGCGAGGGGGATACTACGGCACTTCCCAAAAAAACCCAAAACCCACAACCCAAAACCCTAAACCCCAAACCCTAAACCCTAAACCCAAACTTGGGCAAGCCAGGGCTTCCTGGCCCTCTTGCGAGCCACCGGAGTTGCGTTCGGGAGGGCTTCAGATCGGGGCATCAGGGCCCTGGGTTTAGGGTTTAGGGTTTAGGGTTTAGGGTTTAGGGTTTAGGGTTTAGGGTTTAGGGTTGAGGGTTTAGGGTTTAGGGTTTAGGGTTTAGGGTTTAGGGTTTAGGGTTTAGGGTCTAGGGTTTGGGGTTTCGAGGTTTTTCCAAGTCCTAAGAAGGCCTCCGGGCTGATTGTTGAGGGTTAAGTCTAAGGTTTCGGAGTACCCTAAACCCTAAACTCTCTCTATCATATAATAATTTAAACCTTAATGGGGAACGTGGCCATTGGCAAAAAAACCGTGGCCATTGGCAAAAAAACCGTGGCCATTGGCAAAAAAGCCGTGGCCATTGGCAAATTCGCCAATGGCCACGGGAAAGTTGCCAATGGCCACGGCTTTTTTGCCAATGGCCACCAATGTCATTAAGGTTGGTCGCCAAAATGGGTTTTTCAAACCCAATTCGCACAAAATGCCCCCCAACCTTAATGGGGAACGTGGCCATTGGCAAAAAGCCGTGGCCATTGGCAACTTTTCGGGCTTTTTGCCAATGGCCACGGCTTTTTTGCCAATGGCCACGGCTTTTTTGCCAATGGCCACGGCTTTTTTTGCCAATGGCCACGGCTTTTTTTGCCAATGGCCACGGCTTTTTTGCCAATGGCCACGGCTTTTTCCCCCCCTCCGCCCCCCCCCCCACCCCCCCCACCCCCCCCACCCCCCCCCCCCCCCCCCCCCCCCCACCCCCCCCCACCCCACCCCCCCACCCCCCCCACCCCCCCCCCCCCCCCCCCCACCCACCCCTCCCCCCCCAACCCCCCCCCCCCCCCCCCCCCACCCCCCCCCCCCCCCCCCCCCCCCATGCCACCCCTTCCCTCTTCTGGCCCAGACCCCCATTCTGGGCTTGAAAACCTGGGTCTGGGCCAGATCAAGATGAAGGCTTTGCGGGGCCGGGCAACACGGCAGCCCCTTCTTAGTCTTTCTCATCTTGGGTGGTCAGAGGGTGGGGTGGGGAAAAGCAACTTCGGGACCCCCATTCTGGGGTTGGAAACCTGGATGAGGGCTTCGCAACCCCCCCCCACCCCCCCCCACCCCCCCACCCCGAGAACGAATGCAAGCAGAATGAAGACGAGCTGAGAAATACGAGCAGAGAGAGAACGACTTCAAGGGCTCCAAGAGGGCGGTTGGGAAGGCGGGTTTCCAGCCCTAAAAACTCCAAGACCATGATTCCCAACCCCCCCTTCAAAAGGCTCCAGAGAGGGGGGTTGGGAAGGCGGGTTTCCAGCCCAAAACACTCCAAGACCATGATTCCCAACCCCCCCTTCAAGGGCTCCAGAGAGGGGGGTTGGGAAGGCGGGTTTCCAGCCCAAAACACTCCAAGACCATGATTCCCAACCCCCCCTTCAAAGGCTCCAGAGAGGGGGGTTGGGAAGGCGGGTTTCCAGCCCAAAACACTCCAAGACCATGATTCCCAAACCCCCCTTCAAGGGCTCCGAATACGGGTAGTTGGTTCTAGGGTGGGTTGGGGATTGGCTCGAACTGGAATGGTTCGAGGGTGGGGTGGGGGAAAACAAAACATGAGGTTAACAAAATTAGGTTTTTTTGTCAATCCGGACCAACACTTTTGGTTCTACCTTCGGTCTGGGGAAAGCAAGCGCGAAGACAAGGGACATGCGACAAAGCCGACGAGCACGAAGGGAGGGGACATACGACAAACCCTAAGGGCGCGAAGGGAAGGGACATGCGACGAATCTGTAGACCTTTCATCAAACCATACGAGCACGGAGGGAGGGGACATACGACAAACCCTCCGAGCACGAAGGGAGGCATACGACAAACCCTAAGAGCACGAAGGGAGAGGGCGTACGACAAACCTGTAGACCTCTCGTCAAACCCTACGAGCACGAAAGGAGGGGACATACGACAAACCTCGAAAATAAACCCGTACATTTCTCAATGTTTTGGGATTCTCTGCAAGCAGACAAAGAGGGACATACGACAAAGCCGACGAGCACGAAGGGAGGGGACATACGACAAACCCTAAGAACACGAAGGGAGGGGACGTACGACAAACCTGTAGACCTCTCATCAAACCCTACGAGCACGAAGGGAGGGGACATACGACAAACCCTACGAGCACGAAGGGAGGGGACATACGACAAACCTCTGAGAATAAAATCTCAGTTTCTGAATTCTTGGGATTCTTTGCAAGCAGACGAAGAGGGACACACGACAAAGCCGACGAGCACGAAGGGAGGCGACATACGACAAACTCTAACAGCACGAAGGGAGGGGACGTGCGACAAACCTGTAGACCTCTCATCAAACCCTACGAGCATGAAGGGAGGGACAAACCTTACGAGCACGAAGAGAGGGGACATACGACAAACCTCTAGGCCTCTCATCAAACCCTACGAGCAGGAGCCAACATGAGGCGAGGTCACCGGGGCACTAATTGGAAAGAAACCATGTGGAAGCCAGGCAGCTTAAAGTGTGCCAAACACAACCAACAAGACGGCCAAAAATAGGCAGGGCCACCGGGGAAAACGAGCAAAGTGAATATGAGCAGAAAGAGAACGAATACGAGTAGACTGACGTCGAGCAGAGAGAGAACGAATACGAGCAGAATGAATACGAGCAGAAAGAGAACGAGTACGAGCAGACTCAGTACGAGCAGAAAGACAGCGAAAACGAGCGGACTGAAATCGAGCAGAGAGAGAGAACGAACACGCGCAGAAAGAGCACGAACACGAGCAGAAAGAGAACGAACACGAGCAAAATGAATATGAGCAGAAAGAGAACGAATACGAGCAGAATGATTACGAGCAGAGAGAGAACGAAGACGAGCAGATTGAAATCGAGCAGAGAGAGAGAGAGAGAGAGAGAGAGCGAATACGAACAGAATGAATACGAGAAGAAAAACAACGAAAACGAGCGGACTGAAATCGAGCAGAGAGAGAACGAATACGAGCAGAATGAATACGAGCAGAACGAGAACGAACACGAGACGAGCAGATCAGAAAAAGAACGAATACGAGCAGAATGAATACGAGCAGAAAGAAACGCATACGAGCAGAATGGAAACCAAGCAGAATGACAAAGAACACGAGCAGAATGAATAAATGAGGTTGGAGGACAGGGCTTGCTGAGGAAAATGTGAACTTTATATTTCTTAATGTTTTGGGATTCTCTGGGTGGGTGGGTTTTTTTCTAGAGTCCAGACAGCGGCTCTACTAGAGATTGCTCGACCCAGAGCTGCTGAACCCTAAACCCTAAACCCTAAACCCTAAACCCTAAACCCTAAACCCCTAAACCCCAGACCCTAAACCCTTCAGCTCTGGGCGGGCAAGTGCTGGGTTGGGGGGGTCACCCTGAGAGCGCGACGAGCCCACGCACGCCGCAGACTGACAGACATTGCGCCCTCCTAAGCTGCTCAGGCACTTAGGGTTTAGGTTGTAGGGTTTAGGGTTTAGGGCTGAAGGTTCAGAATTTAGGGTTTAGGGTTTAGGGATTGGGCGCAAAGCTTGGGGCTTCTACGATAGGGCTTATATCTTAAACCCTAAACCTTGAACCCTACACTTTCAAAGAAAGGGCTTTCAGTTGCTGGCTTGCTAGGGCCTTGCCATAGGAAGAAGGCTTTGCTGATATGGTCCCTCTTACAAAGGCTTCGGTCACAACTTTTGCCGATACAAGGAAGCCCGGTCTGAGAACAACCCCCATAGCAAGTTGTAACTCGGGCGAGGATGCAATATCCCACCCAGGAACGCTGAGCTCCGGAATCCTCACCCTCGGAATCCTAAACCCTGAGCCAAAAACCCCCCCTAAACCCTAAACCCTAAACCCTCCAACCCCCCCGACGACTTCGCCCTCTGCCCAGGGGCCAAGTCTGCCCCCGACGCCAAGGTCCACGGAGATTTTCCGCGTCGACGCTCTTGGCTTGAGCCCGGAACGGATGGCGAAGGCCCTTTGAAGGTAGGATGGTGCATGAGATGAGGGGTTTAGGGATTCAGGATGGTTTAGGGGATGAGGGGTTTCGTTGGTGTTTAAGTGTCTTCACAGGCCTTTTCAGGTTCGGAGGGGTTGTAATTTGAGGGTTTTGAGTACTTCCTGTGTGTAGAAAGGGGCCCGGGGTTTTTAGGCTGTGTGTGTGGTCGGGCTTGCAGGGGAAACCCTAAACCCTTTAAACCTCAATACACTAAACCTTGAACCCTAGCGTTTCTAGAGGGGGGGATTCATGTCTGAAGCCCCTCAACTCTAAACCTCTTTGGAGCCTGAGCTTCCCGAGGAGGAGGGGAGGGGGATTCGCAGGTTTGGCCTCCGCAATGGCCGACAGCAAGCTCCTCGGCAAGAGAAGCGCGAGCTCAAAAGGAGCTGCGATCTTTCGAGTCATAGGAGCTGCGATCTTTAGAGTCAGACACTTGAGGGTTGTGAGCTTCTTTGCTAGTGCCTTGCGCACTGCTTTGCATGCCTTAGCGCACGCTCGGGGCTGTTCCACAGAAAGCTTGCGAACCTGATATATTTACATTTAGGGCGGTTTAGGGTTTAGGGTGTAGGGTTTAGGGTTAGAATTGGATCCGAAGATGGGTGCTTGTTGAGTAACTGCGGCGTGGTATAGCCCAACTGCGTGATATGCACGAAATGTCATGACTTCCTTCCAGTATGGAGATTGCTGCCTCTACACCTGCCCTAAACCCTAAACCCTAAACCCTAAACCCTAAAACTATCCCTATAGCTTAGGGGAGAACCGTACACCGATTGATCTGCGACATGGGAGTAGCGGGAGGCCTTGCTTCCTATTGCCTTGGCTTGGGGTTTAGGGTTAGGGGTTTATAGGGTTTATAGGGTTTATAGGGTTCATAGGGTTCATAACGTTCATAGGGTTTATAGGGTTTATAGGGTTTGGGGTTTAGGTCGGGCAACAAGCTCCGTGAAGCTACGCTGCAGCGTCATGGTAGCGACTGCCATCAGAACGCTCCATGTACAGGACGCCAAGGCTCTAGACAATTTCAGGGACGATACTATCACGGACCCCAAAAAAGGGGCCAAGTAGACCCAATGATCCTCCCACCAAGGGGCAGATTGTCTGGAGAAACCTGTTGCAGGATGGGGTGGTTTGCTCACACACACACACACAGGAACTTTCTTGGGCGCTTTGGTGTTGAGGGGTTGAGGAGGATTTCGAAAGTGAGGCTGATCATGCCAAGCACAGGATTCCTCCTGCGCTGTTTAGGGTTTAGGGTTTAGTCAACCCTAAACCCTTTGCACGATGCCTTGCTGGACTCGTTCTCCAGGTCCAAATAGCCTGTGGAGAGTGCCGCTGTTAGCCCATGGGCTTAGGTTTAGTAAGGCCTGTAGAGCTGGCAAAGCTCGGGTTCTTTAGGAGTCTTCGGGTCTGAGCTTTGAGGACTTTAGGGTGAAGGGGAAAGGGGCCAGGCGATTTCAGGGGGGGTTGAATGCGAGTTCAGGAGAAAGGGTTTATTGAACGGCTTCAAGGAGATCCCTTTCTGCTGCCCACGGCCTACTCGAGGTGCGAAGGGGTGGCCGATCTTCTGCAGGGCCTGGAAGAGGGGCCAGTACATCTCCTGGCAATTTAGGCTTCAATGGGGTTTATACGCTTTAGGGTTTAGGGTTTAAGGTTTTAGGGTCGGGGGCTTTGGGCTTCGGGGTTTATGATCTCGGGCGGAACTCCTTTGGGTGCTGTTTGTCTTCGGTGCGTGTGACTTCGGGCTTTCGAGGGCGTGGGTTCCAGGCTACAACATCAACCCCAAAACCCCCCAAAACCCTAGACTTAGCCCCTAAACCCCCAGACCTAAAACTTCAAACCCCTAAACCCCTAAGCCCCTGAAACCTAAACCCTAAACCCCTAAACCCCTAAACCCCAAAGTCCTATAAAGCCTTGAATCCTCGCCGGAGTCGCAGTCCTCGGCCAGCGGTGGGAGCGCCCCTTGCGAGCCGAGAGTCACGAAGTAGCCTGGGAGGATGAACGAAGGTTTTTCGGGTTTAGGGTTTAGGGTTTAGAGTTTAGGGTTTAGGGTTTAGGGTTTAGGGTGTAGCGTTACAGAGGTTAGGGTTTAGGCCCCGAACTTTGGGGTTTAGGGTTGTGGGGCTTTTTGGATGTACGGTTCGTTGCGTTGAGGGTTCAGGTTGTAGCTCTTAGCTACAGTAAGCTCGGCTGTCCTGAAAATCCGAACCCAAGACCCCTGAACCGTAGACTTCACTCGCCCCTCCCCAACCCAACACCTGAGCCCCAAACAGAGCGGAGGGGGGCGGAGGGAGGGTTGATTCCACGCTGGTTACCAACAGAGGGCCCATCACCATTAGGGTTTAGGGTTTAGGGTTTAGGGTTGAGGCCTCCCCCCGCCACATCCACCGCAACGCGCCTGCATTGAAAGCGCCGTCGTCGGCGCGGTGGGGATTCTCCTCCTCTTTCTCAGGGCTGCTCTACACGTGGCTCACCTCGAGATGCACCTTTTACAGTAGGCCTTGTGGGGGAGGTTTGGTTTGAGACCCCAGAAGCTCAGCAAACTTGTTCCCAGGGTGAAGTTTGGGATGTAAAGATTCGTGCTACTACCAGCTTCAGGACTTCCCAAACCCCTACAAGCCCTAAGCCCAAAACCCTACAAACCCTGAACCCTATAAACCCTGAACCCTATAAACCCTAAACCCTATAAACCCTAAACCCTATAAACCCAATCAACCCTGTAAACCCTATAAATCTAATCAACCCTATAAACCCTAAAACCCCTAAACCTTTTGGGGCTGCCTCGCATCGCCCAGCCTCGATCACCCACAAGCCGGCACCGCCGCCCGTGCCTACGAGGGTCTCGAGGAAGGTCTGCACCTGAGACGGCTTGGAGTAGGTTTCTTTTAAACTGGAATCACGCAACGCCCCTAAACCAGAGGGATTTGGGGAAGCTCCTCCAGCTGATCCCCGGCCCCAAACCCGGTGAAGCTCACCCTAAACCCTAAACCCTAAAACCCTAAACCCTACACCGCTGGGTCCCGCGGCGGTCTGCGGGGTCTCGCCCAGACCTGGAGAGCCCCCCCCGAGTTTCGGGGCTTTGGGCTTGTTCCACGTTCAGGGTCTCGGGCTTGGGTCTGCTTATTCAAGGCTTTAGGGTTTTGGGGTTATATTATAGGGTCCGGGTGTTTTTAAGTGCTTGTAGGATTATTTGGGTTTTGGGGTTCTAGGGTCAGGGATCTCCAGGGTGTGTTTAGGGTTTCTTCGGCTTGTTCAAGGTTTGTTAGGGTTGTTGGGGCGGCGGGTTGGGTTCAAGGTTTAGGGTTTAGGGATGGGGTTTAGGGTCGGATTAGGGTTGTTGAACATTCTTCTCTCGTTGAAGAACTTGCGTCCAGTTTCCAATTTTTGCTGATGCAAAATAATGCCGAGGGTGGCAGAAGACCCAAGCATCTTGTCGCGAGCGATACGGATGGACAAGCTTCTGCCTTGTTTGTCCCTAAACCCTAAACCCTAAACCCTAAACCCTAAACCCTAAACCCTAAACCCCAAACCCTAAACCCTAAACCCTAAACCCTGCGTTCTTGCCATTCATGGTCCTGTTAAGCCCTGACACTGCAACGGAGACCTGCTCACTAAACAATAGGCCTGAAGCAAGCCGCAGACCTGCGGTTCGGGTTTGGGGTTTGGGGTTTAGGTTTTAGGGTTTAGGGTCAAGGGTTCAGGGTTTAGGGTTTAGGGTTGAGGGTTTAGGGTTTAGGGTTCAGGGCGTCCTAAACCCTAAACCCTAAACCCTCAATACCTCGAAGCTCTGTGCCTCCTGGCACCCGGTAGGCCGTGATGAGCACCGGAACCCGAGTCTCTGCCCAATGCCTGGCGGTGCGCGCTCTGGGACTCAAGCACGAGGGTTTCTAGGATTAAGGGGGGATCAGGTTAGGGTTTAGGGTTTAGGGTTTCGGGTGTAGGGTTTAGGGTCCAGTGTTGAGGGTTGTAAGGTGTACGGATTCGGGCTCCCTGGTCCCGAAAAAACCAAAGCCCGCAAGAAGCCGGTTGAACACTTCACTGGAGCCCGGCGCTTTGCAGTGGGGCGTGCGACGTGCGGGTTTAGGGCTGAGGATTCGGGCTGAGGGTGAGGGCTGAAGTCTTTGGCTCAGAGGCTAGAGCTTACTCGTATCCCTTGGATCTGCGCGTCAGCTGGCCGAAACCCTAACCAGGATTATGTGAACTGTGAACCTAAGCCCCAAACCAAGCCTTCAGGGAGATGGCGGGTCCCCGGGACAAAAGTGTGGAGACTCTCCTTTTCTCCCCCGATTCACGGTACAGACCCTGTAGCCGGACGCCCTGACACCCTAATGCCCCCCTAGCCCAAGACCCTAAACCCTAAACCCTAAACCCTAAACCCTAAACCCTAAACCCTAAACCCTAAACCCTAAACCCTAAACCCTAAACCCTAAACCCTCACCTTCAAGGCGCCCCGTCTTGAGCCCAAGAGGCCTGAGGCACGGGTACCAGGCGAAGTAGTGCACGTCGAGACCTGGAATGCCACAAACCCGAGGCCCCGAACGCCCCCCCCCCAGACCCACTACTGGGTTTAGGGTTTAGGGTTTAGGGTTTAGGGTTTAGGGTTTCGGGTTTAGGGTTTAGGGTTTCGGGTTTAGGGTTTAGGGTTTAGGGTTTAGGGTTTAGGGTTGAGGGTTGAGGGTTGAGGGTTGAGGGTTGAGGGTTTAGGGTTGAGGGTTGAGGGTTGAGGGTTGAGGGTTGAGGGTTAACTCAACTTCAGCCCAAACAACACAAGCTCTAACCCGCCTAAAACCCATATTCTTGCACTCTCAACAAACCCTTAAACCCAAAAGCCCCTCTCGAGCCCTCAGACCTTCAACACCGCGCCCGAAACCCTACAACTTTCAAGCTGAGACTCGACCTTTTAAGAAAAAGTCTTTGAAAGGAGTATACCCGTCTTAAACCCAGTCAGGAAAAACATGAAATATCCCAAGGGCCTACAGTAGCCCAGTCTCTTAGTTCGAGTGAACGTGGGAGGTAGGGCCAGGTAGGGCTTCAGGGCCCAAAATTAGGGCTTAGGCCTGCTCTGTGGGCGAGCTGACGTTTTCCAGAATCCCCCCTATGAGGGCCCCTAAACCCTAAACCCTAAACCCTAAACCCTAAACCCCACTAGTAGGATCATTAAGTTTAAGTGGCCGAATTCTGCGGCGGCCCCCGACTGGCAGGGAACCAGCGAGGAACCAATTCAAGAACAGAAAGGGTGCTCCTTTGTGCGTCTTGAAGGGGCTTAGGGTTTAGGGTTAAGGGTTTAGGGTTTAAAAAAGTTTAGGGGCCCCCGTAAGGGGATTCTGGAAAACGCCGAACCCCTTCAAAAGGGAACTACTCTGTACCCTAGCGACCCTCATTGGCGAATAGCCATCCTCGGGATGTGTGCATTTGTGCGTCGGGTTCACCGACTCTGCCCCAGTCGCTAAACCCCTAAAGCCCCTAAACCCGCCCCAAAACCCCCTAAACCCCTGAAGCCCCTTCAAGCCCCTGGAGCCCCGAGAGTCCCTGACCCTAAACCCTAAACCCTAAACCCTAAACCCTAAACCCTAAACCCTAAACCCTAAACCCTAAACCCTCCCCCAAGAAGCCCAAACCTCACCCTCCCACCTGGATGGAAAAGCACCACCAGCTGGGGGGCTTCCAGGTCCTTTCGAGGACACCGCAAGGGCGATTCGGGTTTCGGGTTTAGGGTTTGGGGTTTAGGGTTTTAGGGTTTTAGGGTTTAGTGTTTAGGATTTCTGGGTTTAGGATTTCTGGGTTTAGGGCGGGGGGTTTTAAAGACTAAAGAAGGGGCTTTATAGAAGCAAACCCACAATAAACCCTTTGCAAGTCAGACGCTCAAGGTTGGGCGTTCGGCCCGCGAAACTTAAAACCCTAAAACCCTAACACCCCAAGCCCTAAACACCCTAGATCCTAGACCCTAAACCTTAAACCCTAAATCCTAACACCTGCCGGCCTGAGCTCGGACAAGGAGCCGCTGGTACGTCTGCGGGAACACGGACCTTGGCGGAGGGGTCAAGAACCCTGAGTTTAGGGTTTAGGGTTTCGGGTTTGGGGCTTGGGGCTTAGGGGTTAGGGACGTTTTTGCTTAGGATCTAGGGTTTCGGGTTTGGAATTTAGGGTTTAGGGATGTTTATGTTTAGGGTTGCCTTAGGAAGCCAAAGCCTACTTTGACCCAAGGATCCTACAAAGAACCCGAAACAGGGTAGGCTCTGGGTGCTTCAGGTAATCCATGGAGAAAAGGGGAGGAGTAAGGAGATAGGAGCCCTTTGTTTGAGCTTCCCAAAAGTCATCCATAGTTGGGGGAGAGGGGGGGGGTGGGGGGAATAGGTCGCTAACCCCGAAACCCCACACCCTCCTCAAGCTGCCACTGGTACCAGGTCCAGGCTAGCGACTGCCCGCACACAGCAGGGTTTAGGGTTTAGGGTTTAGGGTTTAGGGTTTAGGGTTTAGGGTTTAGGGTTTAGGGTTTAGGGTTTAGGGTTTAAGGTTTAGGGTGTCATAAATCCCTCAACCGAGCTCCCGGCACCTGCAGTCCGCCCACGACGACCGGCCCCAGGAGTGCCTCTAGGGCTTAGGGTTTAGAGTTTAGGGTTTAGGGTTTAGGGTTTAGGGTTTAGGGTTTAGGCTTTGGGGTTTAGGGTTTAGGGCTTCGGGCTCAGGGTTTAGGGTCTAGGGTCTAGGGTCTACGGTTAGGGAGCATGCCGACAGTCCCGAGACGACGGTTTTGCATTGGGGGGATTCACTTAGCAGATACCATTTCCATTTTCTAACCATGCACCACCCCTAGCACCCAAACACTAGCAACCTACGCCTCAACCTTCACCTCACCTATAGACCCATAGTAAGACCCACCTGAACAAACCATACTACCCTACCAGTAAGACCCTGGAACTTACCCTAGAAACCCTAGAAACCCTAAAAACCCTAAACCCTAAACCCTAAACCTAAAACCCCCGACACCTCCGCGGGCTCCCGCCCGGCACCAGCAGCGTGAGGCCCGACCTCAGGGAATTCTCGGAAACTCGGGCTTTGGTTTGGGCCCTGCACCCTAAACCCTAAACCCTAAACCCTAAACCCTAAACCCTAAACCCTAAACCCTAAACCCTAAACCCTAAACCCTAAACCCTAAACCCTAAACCCAACCCTAAACCCTAAACCCTACTCCCCAAAATATATGCAGCCGTTCAGGGATGATATTCAAGGTTTTTCGGGTTGAGGGGTTTAGGGCTTCAGACTTGCGAGACTTACAGGGCTTTGGTTGTGAGGGGACTTTCGGATGGGGTTTTGGTGGGTTGCCTGCTAGAGCTTTAGGGTTTAGGGTTTAGGGTTTAGGGTTTAGGGTTTAGGGTTTAGGGTTTAGGGTTTAGGGTTTAGGGTTTAGGGTTTAGGGTTTAGGGTTTAGGGCCTAGGGTTTAGGGTTTAGGGTTTAGGGTTTAGGGCCGGGCTCATTGTGGCTTGCATAGGTGAACACTCTACCCAGCTCAGGCCTCGACTAAGACAACGCGTGCCCCTGGAGCAAGGGCCTTGGCGAGCACCTTACCGAGCGCAACGTGGAAGTGCGACAGCGGAAGCTCAACCCTTCAACTGAACCCAAACCCTGAGCCAAAAAGTAACCGCAATTCCGGCTTTGGCAAGCAGGGGCAGGTGAGGCAAGCGGGGTAAGCAGGCCCTTCCCCTTCTCAACCTGTCGCCGAGATGGAAGCCTCCTCGACAGATCCGATCCAGATCTTGCCTTCACAAAACCCTCGAAATCCAATCCTCAAATCAGGATTCAGGCATACTAGGTCGACATTCGGTTGACGTAGGCAAGTTACAGCCCGCTGGGCCTCTTGCCCAAGTGAGGCAAGCGAGAGATCCAGGCAAGTGCAGCAAAAGCAGCCCCTCCTGTCCCCCCCAAGACATGGCGGATTCAGGGCCCTTAAGCTTCATTAAGGAGGGAACCTAAAAACCCTTGAAGGAGGGAACCTAAAACCCTCAACTTGGGAGGTTTAGGGGTTTAGGTTTTACCTATACCCCCGCCCCCCCCCCCCCCCCCCCCCCCCCCCCAACACAAGCACCCCATCCCCCCTCTCTTTGCGGCCTCAAAGTCCAGCGAACGCTCGGCGTCGCCCACTCCCACAAAGTGCACCACCTCCACTCTAAACATGAGGGTTTAGGGTTTAGGGTTTAGGGTTTTAGGGTTTAGGGTTTAGGGTTTAGGGTTTAGGGTTTAGGGTTTAGGGTTTAGGGTTTAGGGTTTAGGGTTTAGGGTTTAGGGTTTGGGGTTTAGGGTTAGGGTTTAGGGTGTAGGGTTTAGGACTGCAACAAGCGCTTAGGGTTCAGGCACTTGAGGCACTGCTTGGTGCAGGACACTTCCTAAAAACATTCGGGAGTTATGCAAGATCTGAGATCCGGTTTCTGCCTATGTTATCAGGTATCCCGTCCTACCTCTAGACTCAGAACGTTGGAGAGCTAGTGCAAGCAGGCATACGCGCATGTTCATAGGACACTCCGAAAGGCCTGCTGCAAATGGAATGGGTAATTTGTCAGCGCAAGGAAGCAGCGTACGAAACTACACTAGTATCAACGGCTTAGCCACCGTAAGCAACAACGCAGCTGGCTTAAACAAGCTCCCGTAATAAGCAGGGGTCCATTCCGGCCTTCAAAGACAAGCTGTCTGGCCGTCGTAGAAATTTCGGGTGGGGTCACAGCCCAAGCAAGCCATCAAAACATAAAACTCCGAAACTTCCCCGAAACCCCCGAAACCCTAAACCCCTGAACCCCCAACCCTAAACCCCAAAAACTCAACGCCTAAACCCCTAAACCCCTAAACCCCGAAACCCCGAAACCCCTAAACCCCGAAATCCTCAAATCTCTTTGGGGTGCCCTCTGAGAATGCCTCGGGGCGGAGACCGGTGTCCTCCAGGGCCGCGCGCACGGTAGAAGCACATGAGGTACCCCTGACCTGATAGGGGTTTGGAGGTTTCAGGGTTTAGGGTTTAGGGTTTAGGGTTTAGGGTCTAGGGTTTAGGGTTTAGGGTTTAGGGTTTAGGGTTTAGGGTTTAGGGTTTAGGGTTTAGGGTTTAGGGTTTAGGGTTGAGGGTAAATTAAGGGTTTAGGGCTTCAGGGTCTAGGGGTCAGGGCTCTAGGGGTTTAGGAGTTCAGAGGTGTTGGGTCTTGGGGTTGTAGGGGCTAAGGCCGTAGGGTTTTCAGGGCTCGAGGCACGTTATGGGGCTTTCAAAGCTTGACCTTTCGGAGCCTTCGGGGTTCAGGAGCCTTCTTTGGGCGGGCACGTGTTGATTCTTGCAGGGCCTCCAAATCTTCGGGATTCGGGGCTCTGCTCTATACTTCATACCATGATGTTTGATCTTCCCTTGGGCCTTCTATGAACAAAATATGAACAACAAGTAGGCGTGATTCCTAAGGCAGCTATAGTGCTGAGTATCGGCTACTGCAAAGGAGGCTTCAGGAGCCTAGCTCAGGCTAAAAATCCTGAACCAACAGCCCTGTAGGCTTGAACTCTTACAAATTATATCTTACAAACCCGTAAACCCTAACCCCGAACTTTCTAAACCCAACCCTAACCCTAAACCCGAAACCCGAAACCCTGAAGCTCTGAAGCCCTAAACCCTAAACCCTGAAGCCCTAAAGCTCAGGGCTTCCCGACCGATTTTGGCAGCAGGAGGTCTGCCTCTGCTGTCAGGGTTGTGGGGGGTTTAGGGTCTCGGGCTTAGTAAACCCTGAACCTAAACCCTAAACCCTAAACCCTAAACCCTAAACCCTAAACCCTAAACCCTAAACCCTAAACCCTAAACTCCAAACCATAGGGCTTGCAGCAGATTTGAGACCCCGTAGTCTGGGTCTGGGTGGGCTGCTGGGGCCTTCGGCAAGTGTCTGCCCCCAGAGATGAAACCCCCGCAATCCTAAAAACACCGGCAGAAAAAAGATCTCGAGCCATGCTCTACACGCAAACTCTACACCCTAAACCCAAAAACCTCTAGGGTCAATCCCGCCAGGCGATCTCTGTCGAGCAAATTGAGGTTCGAAAGGTGACAAAACCTACCTCCCAAGCCCAAAGAAAGCTGCCGCCCTCAACAAATCATTGTCCTAAACTGAAGCCCTAAACCCTAAACCCTAAACCCTAAACCCAACCCTAAACCCTAAACCCTAAACCCTAATTGTCCCAGCCTCGACCATCCGTGCCAGCCGGAGGCGCAAGCGGTTTTTGGGCTACCCGTGTGGGCTTCGGGGTTTCAACATCTGTCGGGTTCGAGGCTTAGGTAGGCTTAGGCCATGGGATGAGGGGGTCGGGGTGCAGGTTGTTGGGCTGCGGGCTTTGGGATCTGCTGTTGTTTGATGTGAGCTTGGATTATCTTATATCTACGTATATACATATTATATACATCTTGTTTATACACCCATATACATATATATATATATATATTAAATATTTATATCATATACACATATATGCATGTCTGCATCTAATCGAAAGCAAGGTATTCCTTTCAAGAACCCCTACAGCCTGTAAAAGCTGTCGAAAACCCGGGCTCGATCCTTATGCTTATGACTTATGATGATTGCAAACTGGTACCTGGCCAGGCGCACTTCTGTGCAGCAACGAACGGAACATGAAATTGCGCAAAGCATTCTCAGAAACAGATCCCCGACCCTGGAAGTGCCGGAGGTGCCCCCATGTTGGTGTAGCTACCCCTGCGCTGGCAACTTGTTTTGCTGGGCACAACACACGCCCGAAGCCACTTGGCGGCCTTGGTTTGGTGTTGCTTCTGGAGGGATGCCTCGGGCGCACGCCCGGATTGCATCGGGACAAAACTTAAAAGTTCACATGTGCCAGAGGGTTGAGGCACAGGTTAAAAGGCCGCGGTGCGGCTGTAAGGTCAGCATGTTACTAGCACTCGGCTGATACAGGAGACCGGGCTGCTTGCGAGGCAGCTGCCTGATGACTTGCAATCAATCCATCCTGAACAAGCTGATAAAGCGGCACAGCCATACTTTAGGCCGGGCAGGCAGCTGCAGCAAACTAGCTTCTAAAATGCAAGGAGCCTTTAGGGTTCAAGGCTTCCCAAGCTGGACATGTAGTGGCTGCCCGATATGACAGTCATTGTGGGCTGCTGGTGGTACGTCCTTAGTCGTCATCCTTGCGACGGCGGCGACTGCCATCGGAGTCGTCATCCTTGAAGATGCGGCGGCGCGTGCCATCCTCGTCATCGTCCTCCCCCAGCACACAAAGTCGTTAAGTTGCTCCCATATCGACCCCCTTTATCCCCCACCTCTGATCCCTTTGAAGTCCTGTTGCATTCGCTTCAAGAGGTTTGCATGGAAAACCGCAAATATCATGCGGCGAGACAATCATACGAACTGCAAAGAGCCCTCGGGTTCAAAACATGTCGTCGTCCTTGAAGATGCGGCGGCGCGTGCCATCCTGGTCATCGTCGTCCTCCCCAGCACACAAAGTCGTCAAAAGGCTCCCATATGGAGCCCCTTTATCCCCCACCTCTGATCCCTTTGAACAAGGCCTGTTGCATTCATGTCAGGTGCTCTGCTTGGAAACCCGCGATCTTTATGCGGTGAGACAATTATACGAACTGCAAAGAGCCCTCGGGTTCAAAACATGTCGTCGTCCTTGAAGATGCGGCGGCGCGTGCCATCCTGGTCATCGTCGTCCTCCCAGCACAACATCGTTGAGAGGCTCCCATATGGACCCCCTTTATGGCCCACCTCTGATCCCTTTGAACAAGGCCTGTTGCATTCATTTCAGGAGCTTTGCTTGGAAACCCGCAATCTTTATGCGGTGAGACAATTATACGAACTGCAAAGAGCCCTCGGGTTCAAAACATGTCGTCGTCCTTGAAGATGCGGCGGCGCGTGCCATCCTGGTCATCGTCGTCCTCCCAGCACAACATCGTTGAGAGGCTCCCATATGGACCCCCTTTATGGCCCACCTCTGATCCCTTTGAACAAGGCCTGTTGCATTCATTTCAGGAGCTTTGCTTGGAAACCCGCAATCTTTATGCGGTGCGACAATTATACGAACTGCAAAGAGCCCTCGGGTTCAAAACATGTCGTCGTCCTTGAAGATGCGGCGGCGCGTGCCATCCTGGTCATCGTCGTCCTCCCAGCACAACATCGTTGAGAGGCTCCCATATGGACCCCCTTTATGGCCCACCTCTGATCCCTTTGAACAAGGCCTGTTGCATTCATTTCAGGAGCTTTGCTTGGAAACCCGCAATCTTTATGCGGTGCGACAATTATACGAACTGCAAAGAGCCCTCGGGTTCAAAACATGTCGTCGTCCTTGAAGATGCGGCGGCGCGTGCCATCCTGGTCATCGTCGTCCTCCCAGCACAACATCGTTGAGAGGCTCCCATATGGACCCCCTTTATGGCCCACCTCTGATCCCTTTGAACAAGGCCTGTTGCATTCATTTCAGGAGCTTTGCTTGGAAACCCGCAATCTTTATGCGGTGCGACAATTATACGAACTGCAAAGAGCCCTCGGGTTCAAAACATGTCGTCGTCCTTGAAGATGCGGCGGCGCGTGCCATCCTGGTCATCGTCGTCCTCCCAGCACAACATCGTTGAGAGGCTCCCATATGGACCCCCTTTATCCCCCACCTCTGATCCCTTTGAACAAGGCCTGTTGCATTCAGTTCAGGAGGTTTTTGGGTTCATCATCGTCCTTGAAGATACGGCGGCGCGTGCCATCATCGTCCTTGAAGATGCGGCGGCGCGTGCCATCGTCATCGTCGTCCTCCCAGTGTTGAAGCGGGCACGGCTGCAATTTAGGCCCGGGCAGCTGGCTGCAGCAAGAAGCCGATCAGAGGTTCCCATATGGGGGTTTTACGATATTAAGGGTAAATTACTGGGGTCCTGATTATCAAGGGATCCGACAGCCCAAGAAAGTAGCAACAAGTGGTTCGTTCGACGCTCAGCGAACCTTCTGGATGGAAGACTGATTTCGGGGCAGAATGCCATTCATGCATATATATATATATATATGTAGATATATATATATATATATACATAGATATATATATATATGTATATATATATATATCGCCTACTGGAGGTGCTAGTGAAAAATGAATTGGCCCAAGCAGTGCTTTAAGCCAGAGAAAATGCTTTGCATGGATTTCTGTGGGGAATCCACTGGCAAAGCCCAGAAACATTCTACAAGATAAGGCGCATGTGCAGACATGTTGTTGACCGGAACCCTCCGCGAATCCCAACGTGCGCAACCAGCGACCCGTGCGAATCCTTCTGTGTTTAGGGGTTAAGGATAATTAGGTTCATGATCGATGGGCTGCTGCCCTGTGCTGGAGTTCCGCGCGTTCTTCGGTTAGGCCTTGCTTGGAGAGCGCGCCTCCAAGTGCCCAGTGAGCGACTCTCGCAAAAGCTCGTGCCTCTGGGGCTGGCGATGCGGGCGATCTATCGTCGCTTCACCACTCTTCACTTTTCTTCTACAGAGGTTTCATACCCTAGGTTTGTGCCTCTTGTGAGCCATGCCTTTTACTCATCCCGACCTAGCTTGGTGGCCAGCGCTCGGGACAAACGGAGCTGTTCTTGAGTTCCTGGTCATAGATGTTCACGCACAACCCTCTGTTGTAACCCCGTCATGATCTGTTCCACCCAGGCGTGTTGAGTGATGAGGTCCGTTTGCTGCCAATATTGCGGTACCTTGGCAAGGGCCTGTGCCGCTGCATCAAGGACATCATTTCTCCATACTGCCTGTTGGCGTATAACCATTTCTTCCATTGAGGCCAAAAGGCCACAATCTCTTGGCCTGCCTGTTCAATAGAAGAGGGTGGCATCATGGGTCGAAATTGTATTCTAAGGTCACGACTTAAAGTGCATGGTGGTTCGATTTCTGTGCGAATCTGGCACAGCACCCTGTGGCCAAAACTTGGCTCGACTATATAACCACAAATGGTTCTTCGACTATTTTGGAAAGTCGGAACCAACGACAGGCTCCACCACAAACGGTCCACGAACCCGCAAAGCCTTGCGAACCCCCTTGCGGTTCGAACGGTGTCATCGTCCTTGAAGATGCGGCGGCGCGTGCCGTCGTCATCGTCGTCCTCACAGTGCTGAAAACGGCTCCAGCTATATGCTTCGGACGTCCTCACTCTACAGCAACTTTGACATCGAACATCCTCCTACTTCCAAACATGATGGGAACTGCGTTTCAGTAGGGACCTTCCACGATTAGGCACCTGAAGGATACTCCAGAAATCTGCGGTAGGCACAGGGGTGCTACTCAACTCCAGGGATACTTCCCACCCATCACTGATACTCGCGGAGCGGGCACTCGCCGGATACTTCGAATGATACTCCGAATATCTCCGAATGATACTGGAGATGGACGGGATACTCTGTGCGCACACGAGACCCGCGCGAGGAGGAGCCTTGAAAAGATTGAAGGTGGACAAAAAATTTGACGACATGCACATGGAGAGCCGTTTATAAAGAAACCACATGTTACGGCTCAGCTGCCATCGTGGGCTACTCTGCTGCACTTCCTTCTACGGTCATCTTGGTCCTTGCGGCGGCGCCGGCTGTTGTCATCGTCGTCCGGGCCGCCCGGGGTGGTCGAGCAAGTGGTGGTCGTGGTAGTGGTGAAGTATGGGCAAGTTTCCACGACTGGGGCCGTGGTCGTTGTTGTCGTGGTGGTGGAAGGCGGCCGCCCACAGTACTTGCCACACTCCACGCAGTAATGGTCCAGACCCGGCTTCAGCTGCCGAGCAAACTTGGAATGGCACCGGTGCAGGCACCAGTAGAGCTCCGTGCCCTCCAGCTGGAAGCCGTAGCAGATCTGCTTGCACATGGTGTTCTCGTCCACGCACTTGACTGGACCCTCGTCATCGTCCTCATCGTCCGCATCGTCCTCATCGTCCTCATCGTCCTCATCGTCCTCGTCATCATCCTCGCCCTCGTCATCGTCATCGTCCTTTGGAGCATCATCGTCCTTTGGAGCATCATCGTCCTTTGGAGCATCATCGTCGTCCTTGAAGATGCGGCGGCGCGTCCCATCCTTGTCATCGTCGTCCTTGAAGATGCGGCGGCGCGTCCCATCCTTGTCATCATCGTCCTTGAAGATGCGGCGGCGCGTCCCATCCTTGTCATCGTCGTCCTTGAAGATGCGGCGGCGCGTGCCGTCGTCGTCCTTGAAGATGCGGCGGCGCGTCCCATCCTTGTCATCGTCGTCCTTGAAGATGCGGCGGCGCGTGCCGTCATCGTCCTTGAAGATGCGGCGGCGCGTCCCATCCTTGTCATCGTCGTCCTTGAAGATGCGGCGGCGCGTCCCATCGTCGTCCTTGAAGATGCGGCGGCGCGTGTCGTCGTCATCCTTGAAGATGCGGCGGCGCGCGTCGTCGTCGTCCTTGGGCCGAATGATGACGATCCGTCGAGATCTCCTTGAGCGGGAGCCGATCGTCCGGGAGCGAGAGCTGAAGGACCTGCGCGACCTACGAGACCTCCTGGAGCGAGAGCTGAAGACCCTTCTGCTGCGAGAACTCAAAGATCTCCTGCTGCGGGACGAGATTGACCTCCTTGACTCTAAGTCTAAGTTGGACTCCGAGTCAGTGATCTCCAGAAAGGACTTCTGGCTCTCGGACCGTCGGTGCTGGAGCAATCCCACGACCTCGGTCTCTTCCAGGAGGCTCGGACACATCCCAGCCTTGCAGTAGCGCCCGGTCGCGTGGATGAGCATGGAGCGGTGACCCGAGCAAACCTGCATGCACGTGCTCCAGTCCTGAATGAGCATCGCCGTGCAGATCAGGTTGCACAGCAGCGGGCCGTTGCAGATGTTGGGCTTGTTTGGGGGATAGCTGGGGTCACGGTCCCCGTAGCTACGAGCCACCTCCCGCCTGTCTTCGGGATCCGAGGCGCACACGTCCTGGATGCAGTGCTGCAGCGTCCGCTGCTCCGGCGTGGTCTGCTCCGAGTTCTGCGGGTAGGTGACGCCCTCCAGCCAGACGGCCTCCTCCCGGCAGATGTCGGCGCCGTCCAGGTAGGAGAAGTTGAAGCCGTTCAGGTCCCGGGCCTCCAGGCACGTCATCTCCACGGACTCGCCAGGCCTCAGTCATCAGCACAAGAAAGAATGGTCGAGGCTGACTACTGTACATCGGTGCTGAGCTGCTGAAGGGGGAGGAGACTCGGAGAGGGCTTCAAAAACGGCTGCGATGCGACGAAGGCGCGCGTTGTTGTCGGGCTTCTCGCAGACGCAGTGCGTGTCCCTGAGGCGGGTGTCGCAAGTCTTCGGCTCCCCTGTGTCCGAGTCGAAGTTGGCCGGGTCAGAGGCGTTGGTGAGGTTGCAAGCGAAGGCCTCGTTGGGGAACCTCCCGCGTCAGTTCGGGACTACTGGAGAAGAGTCCACAGAATTTCTCCCAATCTCTCAAGTGCAACTCACCAGCCTAGGCAATTCTATCAAGATTCCTCAACTCCGCAAGGATGGTACACAACGATGGTGCGTTCCGATTCTAGTCACGATGGCACCCTACACCGCTATCATTCTGAATCTACTCTGGACCCTATAAAAACCCGCAGCCCTACACCCTACAAACCTTCAAAAAACGTGCGGTCATTTTGGGGAGCCTTCCCGTGCCAGGATCGTCCCGCACTCCCACGCATCGGGCGCCGCGGTCCTGGCAAAGGGATGCTAACGGTTTTACCATTTATCGTCTGGGGGGGGCTTAGGGTTTCGGGACATCCTTGCTCAGCACTTTTGCAAGGCCCGTGCTCCCTTCTCCCATCTCCCTCGCGCATGGGGGGGGGGGGGGGATCTGGCAGGTCTGCCCGGCAATCGTTCCTAAACCTGTGGCCTTTCTTTCATGGCTATATGGCAAGAAGTGGTTCCTCTGTTGACATAAGGCTTTGGGTCGGTTTGGGACGTGTAGCTGGTCCTGGTCCACACCTGAGGCCCTAGCACCGAACCTTAAACAGCACGGTCCTGGCACCAGTCTCGGCAAGTCCTGCGCGGGAACTTCGGGGTGTTCAAGTTCACGAAAGCGACCTGATGCCGAGGCGACTTCCGGACTTGGACTTGATTCATTTGAGATTCATAGGGACGTTTAGTAGGGTTGAAGGGTGCCGGCTGCCAGGGGCATCTCGAAAACAAAGGCATGGTGATCTCTCTTTCACGTGCTTGCTTGTATCACCCAGCTGCTTCTTTTAGGCCCAGAGTCCCCTTCATTGGGGAATTTGAGCCCTTGCCACCCCCTCTCCCCGACAATCATTAGAAACGGCTCCGGACCGCTCTCGCTCTCGCTCTCAACTGAAGCTCTGAACTTCCCATTCCGCGAGCCGACGTAACGACCTATATGAATAGGCAATATTAGGCAATGATGAGACGCACCTTTGCAGCTAGTGGGAGCACGGCAAGATTTCGCGCATCCGTGGCACACACCCGATGGCCACAAGCTCAGAAGAAAAACAGTAATTCATAAGACAACCGAAAAAGCGGCTCAGATGCCCCCTGGGCTAGGGACGCAGTTCTCCCCATCGTCCATCAACTCCTTGATGCGGTTGTTATTCTCGATGACCGCCGGGTCGTTGCTGGTCTCGTCCCTGAGTGGTGGACCAAGACGCTCTACTAAGGTTAACAGGGTTTGAGGACCGGGTGGTGTAGGGTTTTCAGGGGTTTGGGGGTTTGGGGGCTTGGGCTTCAGCCTAGGGTTTCGATCGGGATTTGGGGCTTATCAGCGCATTGAAGAACAAGGCGACCGAACCGCGGCTTCCTGGGTCTTTAACATTCTAGCGCTGGTAGTGGTAAGCGCCTCCCCGCTGCATTGTTCCTGGTGTCCACCTGGCATCCGCACTGTTGACTACCCAAGAGGCAGGCCCTGACTGGTGGCCCGGTGATCATGAATCATTGGGTGTCTGGTTTAGGGTTAAATACCTGAACCCTTGCACCACAAGACAAGGGGCGGGATGCACTCCTTGTCGCTGGGGTGTCCGAACGGCCTGCACGCTGAACCCGTCAAAGGCAAAGCAAGCCCCCGAACCTCACGAACTCTGATCGACCCTACACATCCTACACCTTGAACAAAACCTACCCAACCCTGCCCCCCCCACACCCCCCTCCCCTAGAGAGGAATGACAGGCTAGGGGATTGAGTCGGATGGTGTTTTTAAGGCCCGCCACGGGCCTCATGAACTCGCAGCCCGGCTGGGTGACGTCACCACTGCCGGACGCAGGGCACCCAGGCGGAGTGAGGGCGACGCCTTGGCATCTCAGGGTTTTGGAGGGTTTTGGGGCCCACGGGGGGTTTTTTTTGGGGGGGGAGGAGGGGGAGAAAGGCACAGTCACTGGCCCGTCCTGGCTACCCAAACTGTGCATATACACTGCGCACTCCACGGGAGATGCGAGCCGACGTCTACATCGCTGGGGTGTCGAGGGGCCATCTTCCTGGCAGAACTCGCAGAGGTCCTGCCAGAGGTTCGGCGCATCCGGCCTCGGTGCTTTGGGGCGGCAGCGAAGGGGTTGCGGTGGGACGCGGGGGCTTAGGGGTATAGCGGCTATACAGCAGCGGCCATAGCGGGTAGGCTTGGGGACCGCCGAGCCGCGTCGTGAAGAGGTTCTCGTCGCTCTCCGGGTCGATCCACTGCGTCGAGAGCTTCCTTACATCGGGCCCCAAAAGGCGTGCGATGCATGGTACGTGCACACGCGCACGACTGCGTGAAGTTGAAGGGGGGGGGGGGGGGGGCATGTGCGGCATATGCATGCAAATCATGCGCCCGTGCACGCCCGAGGGGCTGCGCTCCGCAGATGCCCTCCTTGCCCCCGCTCGTCATGGTGGCACAGCCCCAGGCCTTGATGACGATGTTGTTGTAGTAGGCGTCGGGGGTGAGCGCCAGGTTCCTCGCACTGCCGTAGAGAGGCTGGGTGTTGATCTTGATGCGGACGCAGCTGTCATCGCTCACGAGGATGACGCCGGCCGCTGGGTCCGTGTCGTTCGATTTCAGGATCTTCAAGGTGGCGCTCTCGACGTTGGGGCTGCCCACCACGTACTCCTCCCCGATCCTCTTGACGATGTACTTGTCGCCGCCGTTCATGGTGATGGCGTAGGCGATGGCTGAGCTCAGCCGGGTGAAGAAGTACTGGCAGAAGAAGGCCTGGACCTCCACCGGGCCACCACAGGTGTCCGTCCTGGCCAGGCGCCAGATGCCCTGAGGCTGGAAGTCGAAGCCATCTTCGTATCCCTTACGCCAGCTGCTCTCCACATGCGGGTCGCCCGTGATGGTGCAGTCGTCGAAGCAGGTGGACGTCCAGTCGTCGACGTTGGCGCACTGGTCGCAGTCGCATTGCCTGGGGCATGTCAAGGTAGGGAAATGGGCAGGTGTGGAGGGGGGGAGGAGGTGATCCGGGAGGATCTGGGATAGCGACCCTCTGCCACGAGTCCACTTTCGATTCCGAGCCCGAGCGGCTGTCCCAGAGCCGCGAAGGCCCAGGCGCCCAGAAGGGCCAAGCGCAAGGCGGCCGCCATGTCTACCACCCAGAACCCGAAGTCCTAAACCCAAACCCGAGCATCAACCAGATGAGGTTGCAGGATGTTGCAGGGAGCCACGCTGAGCAGGAGTTCCAGCCACAAACCCCTTACACCCCTAAAGCCCTCCTAACCCATCGAGCCCTTAGGCCCTTGAAGAGTTCCCGCGGGTCTCAAGCAGAACATCACACACCGTTTGAGCTAAGCAAACCCTCACCTGCACCTCCCATAGCCTCAAACGGGAACCCGAATGGCTCACTCCCGATGCCCGGTGCCCGGAACCCGAACAGCCCTGAAGCGCAAACCATTGCACCCCAAAGCCTAGAAACGCCCTCGGAACCCGAAACGGTACTGTAACCCCCAAACTGCTTGAGCCCCCGGGCCGGAACGGATGGAGGAGGTTGGGGCTGGGAGAACGGTTTGCTGTGTTATGTCCAGCTTTGAGGACACTATGTATCACGTGTATATATACATACATATATATATATATACTATATGAGTATCTCACACTTGTAAAGAATTAGTCAACACATGTATATTGATCTACGTGCTTCAGCGTTCATTTGCAGGAGCCCAGTGGGTCGGTTGCAACCAGCTGAGGGTTCAGGGATTGCGGCCGCGGGCCCTTTTTTCAACTTAAGCCATTTGGTGAGTTTGTCAACCTTCAATGCCACAAAGTGTTAAGGTTTTGGGGAAAAGTCATTCATTGAAGGTTGAAGATTCCAGGAAAGTGGTCTGTGCAATGTTCAGTCTTCAACCTTTTGTTTTCAGGGAATGTCAACTTTCATTTTGCAAATGCGTGTTTATAGATTTTCGCTGAGCATGTTTTACCGTTTACTTGATCCATCTGGATATATCCCGAAGCCGTGTGAACTGACAGTGCAGTTTATTCAATGTTTCGGGAAATTCTTCATGTTGAGGTATAGGGCTTCGTCCCAAAAAGTTTCGGAATAGAAATTATAACCTTAAAACCCCAAAACCCTAAACCCTAAACCCCAAACATTGCTACGGGGAACGGCCGCCAAGGCATCTCTGGATGGTGTGCGCTTCTGCATTCGAGGGGTAGGGCGGGGGGCCATATCTGATATGTACATAAAGACTTCGAATAAACAAGCAGCCACAAAATAGGGCTTGTGTGTAAAAAGATGGCTTGCGTGTATATAAACATATACACACAACAGGTCTTCAAAGCTGGGTATAACACAGCAAACCGTTCTCCCAGCCCAAGCCTCCTCCATCCGTGCCGGTTCGGGGGCTCAAGCAGTTTGGGGGTTACAGTACCGTTTCGGGTTCCGAGGGTGTTTCTAGGCTTTGGGGTGCAATGGGTTCAGGGTTTGCGCTTCAGGGCTGTTAGGGTTCAGGCATCGGGGGTGAGGCTATGGGCCCATGGGATGAGAGGGTCGTGGCGCAGGTGACAAGGCTCAGGGGTTTGGGGTTTAGGGTTTAGGGCTTCAGGCTTTAGGGTTTAGGGTTTAGGGCTTAGGGTTTAGGGTTGGGTTTGCTTAGCTCAAAGGGTGTGCGAGGTTCTGCTTGAGACTGGCGAGACGTTTCAAGGGTTCATGTCGTCCGGAACGCCTGGTTGCAGTGTGGCTCTTTGTAATTCCAAGCGATACTGTGCTGCTAGTTTAGACTACTTTTGCCTGTGTTCCATGAACATATATGTGTACTTGCGCGTCTGATTGAGGTAAACCTGTCAAAACACCCTGAAACAAACGATGATACATGGCAAGTGAGAACGATTGCAGACTGGTACTCGGTTAGGGGCTCCTGAGCAGCAATGTTCAACGGCGCACAAAGTTGCACGAAGCGTTCTCTGAACCGCTCGGATCCCAGCGCTGCTAGAGGTGCGGGTGTTCTGGAAGCTACCCCTGCGCTGGCAACTTGTTTTGCTGGGCACAACACACGTCCGAAGCCACTTGGCGGCCTTGGTTCGGTGTTGCTGATGTAGGATGCTTCGGGCGCACGCCCAGATTGCATCGGGACAAAACTTAAAAGTTCATATGCGCCACAGGCTGGGTTGAGGCACAGGTTAAAAAGCCACGGTGTGGCTGTAAGGTCAGCATGTTACTAGCACTCGGCTGATACATGAGACCGTGTTGTTCGCCCGGCAACTTGCCTGATGAGTTGCAATCCATCCCGCTCCAAGCTTCTGACACACAGTTTAGGCTAGGCAGCTGCCACAAAAATGACTTGTGAAATGCACGGGAGCCTTTGGGGTTCAAGGCTTTGAAAGCTGGCAGGACATGCAATGGCTGCTGTTGATGCAGCCGCCATCATGGGGTCCTTATGGGTCCTTAGTCATCATCCTTCCGACGCCGGCGACTGCCGTCGGAGTCGTCGTCCTTGAAGATGCGGCGGCGCGTGCCATCGCCATCGTCGTCCTCCAACTGTAGGCATCAGAGGTGTTTCATGGTGTTTCCTTTTCGTCACCTTGCAACAAGCCGAACGAAGAACCGAAATCTGACGGGAATGGAGTTCCTAAGCATGACCCAAACCTAGGCACACCCCTGGCCGGCTGACTCTCATCCCTAAAGACGCCCTACGTGCCCAGTCAAAACTCCCTTGCCCGCCCCCCCCCCCCCCCCCCAAAAAAAATAGGCAGTCGGCATGGCCCTGGGAACCAAAAGCCCGGATGAACAACGCGAAGCCGAAAAGCCAAATTGACGCGCAACCCCAGGCCAAAGAGGCTCCTGAACTTTCGATTCCGACACGGCAACCCTGGACAAACCTTCAAGGGTGCTTGAGGAGTTTTGGGGGCCTGTCCTTGAAGATGCGGCGGCGCGTGCATCGCCATCGTCGTCCTCAAACTGTAGGCATCAGAGGTGTTTCATGGTGTTTCCTTTTCGTCACCTTGCAACAAGCCGAACGAAGAACCGAAATCTGACGGGAATGGAGTTCCTAAGCATGACCCAAACCTAGGCACACCCCTGGCCGGCTGACTCTCATCCCCAAAGACGCCCTAAGTGCCCAGTCAAACTCCCTTGCCCCCCCCCCCCCCTAGGCAGTCGGCGTTGCAGGGCCCTGGGAACCAAAAGCCCGGATGAACAACGCGAAGCCGAAAAGCCAAATTGACGCGCAACCCCAGGCCCAAAGAGGCTTCTGAACTTTCGATTCCGACACGGCAACCCTGGACAAACCTTCAGGGGTGCTTGAGGAGTTTTGGGGGCCTGTCCTTGAAGATGCGGCGGCGCGTGCCATCGCCATCGTCGTCCTCCAACTGTAGGCATCAGAGGTGTTTCATGGTGTTTCCTTTTCGTCACCTTGCAACAAGCCGAACGAAGAACCGAAATCTGACGGGAATGGAGTTCCTAAGCATGACCCAAACCTAGGCACACCCCTGGCCGGCTGACTCTCATCCCTAAAGACGCCCTACGTGCCCAGTCAAAACTCCCTTGCCCCCCCCCCCCCCCCCCCCCAAAAAAAAAAGGGCAGTCGGCGTTGCAGGGCCCTGGGAACCAAAAGCCCGGATGAACAACGCGAAGCCGAAAAGCCCCAAATTGACGCGCAACCCCAGGCCCAAAGAGGCTCCTGAACTTTCGATTCCGACACGGCAACCCTGGACAAACCTTCAGGGGTGCTTGAGGAGTTTTAGGGGCCAGTCCTTGAAGATGCGGCGGCGCGTGCCATCCTGGTCATCGTCGTCCTCCCCCAGTGGACGAAGCTGTGGAGAGGCTCCCATGTGGACCCCCTTTTACCCCCCACCTCTGATCCCCTTCAAAAAATCCTGCTGCATTCGTTTCAGGAGCTTTGCATGGAAAACCGCAACGTTCACGCGGTGCGACAATTGTACGAACTGCGAAGAGCCCTTGGGTTCAAAACATGTCGTCGTCCTTGAAGATGCGGCGGCGCGTGCCATCGTCGTCCTTGAAGATGCGGCGGCGCGTGCCATCGTCATCGTCGTCCTGCACGTGCTGAGAAAGCGGGACGGCTACGGTTTAGGCCCAGGACGCTGGCTGCAGCAAGAAGCCGATCAGAGGTTCCCAAATATGGGGGTTTTTTACGATATTAGGGGCACCTTATTGGGGTCCTGGCTAGAAGGGGCTCCTACTATTTGGTGAGGTCCCTCATTTTCGTAAACCCCCATATTGGCCCCCTGATTCCCCACCTCTAAATATGGTGATGGCCCACCGGCCGACCCGCTTGAAAAAGTGCTCAGCGTACCTTTCGGATAAAAAAACGATGAAAGGAAAATCGGCGCGGTTAGATTTTTATACCGAGTGATTTCGAGGCATCATGTCATGCATTTGTATATCATACCTACTGTTCAGGCAATAGAATTTCCATGGAATGTCCTTCGCATGGATTCTCTATGGGGGATCCAGTGGCATTTTTTTTATTTCCAGGAACGCCTAGGAAACTTCTACAAGATAAGGCACATGTGTAGACATGTTCGCTGACCGGAACCCTCCGCGCATCCGAATGCCCCTCCCCAGCGACCCGCGCGAATCCTTCTCTCTGTCGGTTTAGGGTTTGGGGTATAGGTTTGGAGTTTAGGGTTTAGGGTTCAAGGTCTTGATCGACAAGCGCATGGTGGTCCGATTTGCGTGCGAACCCCTGTACCCTGTGGCCAATACCCCTTTGCGGCATGAAAATTCCCAAACCTAAACCTTGAAACTTTGGTCCCCTGGCAGCTACGGCCGGCAACGCAATGTCTGGAAGAGCCCCTGTAAAGCTGTCGGTGCACTTCCTAAGTTGTCTTGGTCCTTGCGACGGCGCCGACTGCCGTCGGTGTCATCGTCCTTGAAGATGCGGCGGCGCGTGCCGTCGTCATCGTCGTCCTGTCCAGTGCTGAAAACGGGCGTGGCTACAGTGCAGGCCAGCTAGATGCCTCGAACGTCCTCACCCTACAGCAACTTTGACTTAGTCTGCTGCACTTCCTGACACGGTCGTCTGGGTCCTTGCGGCGGCGCCGGCTGTTGTCATCGTCGTCCGGGCCGCCCGGGGTGGTCGAGCAAGTGGTGGTCGTGGTAGTGGTGAAGTATGGGCAAGTTTCCACGACT